TGTCCTGGTTGACCTGGATGTCCTGGTTGTCCTGGTTGATACGGTTTCCAGTTGTACCAAATAATCCGGGAGTACTACTTCCGTAGTCAGGTTGACCAGGCTGTCCTGGTTGTCCTGGTTGACCTGGTTGACCAGGTTGTCCAGGTTGGTATGGTTTTCCTGTTGTACCGAACAATCCTGGAGTACTACTTCCGTAGCCAGGTTGTCCTGGTTGACCTGGATGTCCTGGATGACCAGGTTGTCCTGGTTGTCCTGGTTGCCCTTGTTGACCTGGGTGACCAGGTTGTCCAGGTTGGTATGGTTTTCCTGTTGTGCCGAACAATCCTGGAGTACTACTTCCATAGCCTGGTTGTCCTGGCTGTCCAGGTTGACCTGGTTGGTATGGTTTTCCTGTTGTACCGAACAATCCTGGAGTACTACTTCCGTAGCCAGGTTGTCCTGGTTGTCCTGGTTGACCTGGATGTCCTGGTTGTCCTGGTTGGTATGGTTTTCCTGTTGTACCAAACAATCCTGAAGTACTACTTCCGAAACCAGGTTGACCAGGTTGCCCTGGATGACCAGGTTGACCAGGTTGTCCTGGTTGTCCTGGATGACCAGATTGACCAGATTGTCCTGGTTGATATGGTTTTCCTGTAGTACCGAACAATCCGGGAGTACTACTTCCGTAGCCAGGTTGACCAGGTTGTCCAGGTTGATACGGTTTTCCTGTGGAACTACTACCAAAACTTGGATGCCCTGTTTGTCCTGGTTGACCTGTTGTACCGAACAATCCTGGAGTACTACTTCCATAGCCTGGTTGTCCTGGCTGTCCAGGTTGACCTGATTGTCCTGGATGACCAGGTTGTCCCGGTTGTCCTGGTTGACCAGGTTGGTATGGTTTTCCGGTCGTACCGAACAATCCTGGAATACTACTTCCATAGCCTGGTTGTCCTGGCTGTCCAGGTTGACCTGCTTGTCCTGGATGACCAGGTTGACCAGGTTGTCCCGGTTGTCCTGGTTGACCAGGTTGGTATGGTTTTCCTGTTGTGCCGAACAATCCTGGAGTACTACTTCCATAGCCTGGTTGTCCTGATTGTCCTGAATGACCAGGTTGACCAGGTTGTCCTGGTTGCCCTTGTTGACCTGGGTGACCAGGTTGTCCAGGTTGGTATGGTTTTCCCGTGGAACTACTTTCAAAACTGGGATGTCCTGATTGACTTGGATGGTCGGGTTGTCCTGGTTGTCCCGGTTGATACGGTTTTCCTGTTGTACCGAACAATGCTGGAGTACTACTTCCGTAGCCAGGTTGTCCTGGTTGTCCTGGTTGACCGGGTTGTCTTGGATGTCCAGGTTGTCCTGGATGACCAGGTTGTCCAGGTTGACCGGGTTGGTATGGTTTTCCCGTGGAACTACTTCCAAAACTAGGATGTCCTGGTTGTCCTGGTTGACCTGGTTGACCAGGTTGTCCAGGGTGATACGGTTTCTCTGTTGTACCGAATAATCCTGGAGTACTACTTCCGTAGCCTGGTTGACCGGGTTGTCCTGGATGACCAGGTTGACCAGGTTGACCAGATTGACCAGGCTGTCCTGGTTGGTATGGTTTTCCTGTTGTACCGAACAATCCTGGAGTACTACTTCCATAGCCTGGTTGTCCAGGTTTTCCCGGCTGACCAGGTTGTTCTGGCTGTCCAGGTTGACCAGGTTGTCCAGGTTGGTACGGTTTTCCTGTAGAACTACCTCCAAAATTTGGATGTCCTGGCTGACCTGGTTGTCCGGGTTGACCGGGTGTGTATGGTTTTCTTGTAGTACTTAATAGTCCGGTACCGGCACCTCCAAAGTTCGA